GACTAAATTATAAATATATATTACTATCAAACGCTCTACTTAGTGAGCTATCATGGATGGCTGGTCAAATACGTTTTTCTTTGTATATTTATGTACAGACTAATTATATGATCAATATAGAGTTTCATGGACCTAAATTCCTATCACTGCTGTAGCAGGAATCCAAGTCCGTCGGGAAAATACGTCCGTAGTCATTTTTCATATATATCATAGCTTGGAATATATGTCTGACTAGGACAACGTATACTAGGAACGGAGGTCCGTAGGACCTCCGGTCCTAGAAACGTAGGTCCGTAGGACCTACGTTCCTAGGAATCCAAGTCCTACGGACTTATTTCTCAAGAGGACCTATACTCCTGTTACACCGGTCATACTCAATATACGCGGATACTCTAGTATCCCGTGAATAAAGTTAAAGGGCTTTAAAGTCAAAATTGTTTTTCAAAAAACCTCTCCCATTGAAGCGAAACATTATTTTCAAAAACGACTTTGAAGCGCTGTAACTTTAATATTCATCAAATAAACTAAACACTTAGTGTTCAAAAAAGTTAGACAATTCAATTTTCTATATAAAAATATTTTTTGCTGAATCTTTTACTAAAAAGATATCCTGATTTCTGATTTGCCCCGAGCCCTTCATTTCCCATTGGATTCCATGGGAATGACGATTTTCAAAAATTCATCAAATTTATCATCAATTTTCGACCTATTGTAATTGAGGAAAAAAATTGAGAAAATTTGGACGTATTGGAAATAAAGTCAAGTTACGTTTCCATTAATATTATAAGTTATTTCATCGCCGGTTAAGTAAATAAAAATTCAAACGTAAAGAGGCTTTAACACGTAGTTCAATGGGGGAAAAAGGTTGCCAAACTTATGGAGGGGAGTGTATGTATATATCGATGTCCAACCTTATCAAATATAACTTGAGTACCGTGGCACCCATTTCGTATGTAAAATCTGATGAGATTGCATACATGGAGACTGCCCAGTGCCCATACAGGCCCGTAGCCAGTATTTGCCAAGGGGGTTCAGCTTTCAAAAATTTCCAAGGAGGGGGGTTCACATTTGACAATTTTGGCCCAAATATGGCCAAAATCACTTGAGAAGTGCTCAAAATGGTGAAAAACTGCATGATTTTGAAAGAATCTTTGGCCGGGGGGGGGGGTTCGCCCGAACCCTGCGAACCCCCCTGGCTACGGACATGCCATATGTCAACTCATCTTAAATCTACTATTTATATTGTGTTTCTTCGATCAATTGACCTTTAGGTCTTTATAAGAATATGAAATAATCGCGTCCTGTTATACGTTTTCAGATTCAAAAATCATAAAACACTGCCAGACTTTAAAACATCTCCTCAACATCAATTTGTCATTAGAATACTGTTTTTATACTTTTAAAGTAGAAAACGGATAATAAAGGCCGCTAGCAAAAAGATAATGTCATTTTTAGGTTAACGTTTGCTCAGTATCCAAAGTGCTTAGCTTAAAGTACTTTGTTCATAGAACGTAAACGGGAACGTTTAGGTTTACGTTTGCGGTTCACGTCATAAAAAACGTCTTGCTTAATCTCTCAATTGTTACATTGACGTTCCGTCAAAGTAACTAGTTGTGCAACAGTGAATTAGAATGAAAAACACCATACTACACAGCAAGAGCAGTACTGTTCAATATCTATGTGTTTGTAGGCAGAGCCGAATGAAAAAACACATTTAGTTGAGAATATTTGGAAATGTACATGTATGGCTGTGTATTCAGAAGATGATAGAAAAAACGATAATCTATGTAAAATTGTTTCAGGCTGAAGATCGCGCGGAGTGTGATCTGGATAACAGAGGTACACGTACGGTTCTTTTCGGTGACCAGCGCGTAATCAGTTAAGGCTCCTCATGTGTAATACATTGTTAATGTGAACATATGATTTTTGGCGGTCCTGTCATTGTTTTCTATCATCATCTGAATTATCTGTGATATTCCAAATATTCTCAACGAAACTTTTTTTATTTTTAAGAGTGACACTCAACAGAATGAATGCGTGTAGTTTTTTGTGGTTAATATCACGATCGGATGATGTCTTGTTGTGACCGTTTACAGAAATAAGCATGTTCTTGTATACACTCGTCCTATGCCCCTTTTAAAAGGGAATCCAGGGAAATATGAAGGAATAAAAATCGTATTGAATCGTATTACATGAAAAAAATCGTATTGTCCCCGGGAAAAAAATCGTATTGGATCATATTACATGAAAAAATCGTATTGTCCCCGGGAAAAAATCGCATTGGAGCATATTAACCTAATTTCGGTTTTCCGGTTATTTTTTCCCGGTTATTTGCATTATACAAATGTAGCGTTTTAGAAGGGTGTATTATGGAATAAATAGGTTATTTCTGGTCGGGATTGAATATGGGTTTTATTCCTCGGAAAATATGATATTGACCTTGGGCTATATGATATTGAAACTCGGTCGCTGCGCTCCCTCGGTCAATATCATATTACCCTTCGGTCAATATCATATTTATATAAAACCCATATTCAATCCCTCCCAGTAAATAACCTATATGCACTGTATGGGTGAGAGAGGGATTCTGATCAAACGTCCAAAAAATTGTACAGGATATCAAAGAAGAGACTTTGTTTGATAACCAGATCCCAAAATTAGGTCATTCTGACATTTATATTTCAAAATATAGGTCATTTTAGTGTTTACTACTGCTTTTCGCGTCATGACAACACGAGTAGTAACCAATCAAGATGCCGTATTTTATCACGCGAGTTCAGAGTGACATGCACGCGATGTGTAGTCTGAGGTGATCGCGATGTTGAACAATTTCTTCTCGGAATTTGTCCAGAGAAATCAGCGATTCTAAATTAAGTAGGATCTGCCATTTTTTCCCGTACAAGTTCTAACTTATCTCTATCGAATCCTAAAGTTTTGGAAGAAGATATAAAGCATACGTTTAACATCCTTCAAGATCGGTCCTTCACTGCTTTTATAGCAGATCATCCCCTTCACGCAAGCCTGTGTACTTTCATTTTACCCAACGCAAAAAGCGTAATGTAATGCAATGAATTACTCTTGGGCCAAGGATGACGTTTAAAAACGAAGCGATTACTTTGACAATCTGATTTTGCAATTTGCAATGGCCAATTTACTGCAAGTCCAGTGCATGTATTTGACAAGAGATAGCGCCAAGTCTTGTATCTAAATGCTTGTTAAGCCACTCAAAAACAAGATCCATATTTTCTAAAGGATAGGTATCGATATGGAGAACTGGATTCAACAATGCTTTTCTCTTAAACCAATCATTGAAAACATTATGTGAAAAAACATGTTTTTTTATGTAATGTTGACTGATTGATAACAATTTAATTCGAAAATTATTTAGAAATAAAACTGTTTTTTTTAGTGCAATTGTTTTTGCTTCTTTCTACCAATTCTTGAGAAATAAATAAAATGTCTTTCCGAACCTTGTTGGAACAAAATAGCACATACAACATGTTTTAGACCTCTCAATATTAAAGTTATACAAAGGAAATTCTGGTTGATTTTAAAAAAGTATTCAAAAAATTAATATAAAATCCACCCAAAATAGATAAAAATCAAGATAAACCCTTTATTTCATTAACAAGATACTTTTTTAAAATCAACCAGAATCTCCCTTGTACAATTGCAATATTGAGAGACCTAAACATGTTGTGTTTATGTCGTTTTGTTCCAATGAGGTTCGGAAAGATGTCTCATTTCACTCTGGAAACATGATACCAGGAACAAAACAAGTGTTTGATGTGTTTTTTAAAACAATATAGATGAAAGTATGTATATCTATTTCAAATTATATTGTTACCATTCAAAAGATCGCCATTTAATTGACAATTTATAAGATTTTCAGAAATTTTTGATGACTGGTTTAAGAGAAACGTGTGTTCAAAAAGTTCGCCATATCGATACCCATTCTTTGATAACTTTGCAGAAAACCTGTTTTCATAATCTGTTTTCCGCGTCTAGATTCAAACTGAGTATGATAATAGGATCGCTGGAATCTTCAGTCAATGGCAACGGGGCTTCATTCCAGAACTCACATTTTAGTTGATTCTCCGTCATAGTTCTTGTCTAAAGTCCCCATATCTGCTCTCTAACTGGCATACTTGGACACATTTCCCCTCCTTAAATTGTCTTCATTCAAATTACACCCTCTCGCCGATTTATAAAGCCATTTCTCAGAACCCGGGAATCAGAATCGCTGTTTGCATTAAACGGTCACGTGACTAGCGCGATACAGGAAAAATGGGGAATTTCGAAACAATTTTTGGGCTCTTTTATTGCAAATTTCAGGTATTTACAAAGTGTTTGTGGTATAAAATATAATCCACAGACATAAATGAACATCCAAACTACATATATTTTATTAAGTTTTGGAGCCTTTTTTGCTCTTAAATTAACATCTTTAATCCAATATGAGTATATAAAATATACATATTTATCTACAATCTGATCCTACATATCAAGGATATTAACGACATTGCATTTTTCAAAAAATGTTAAGTGACCCCAGGGGGTGATTTCATCATATTTTACCATAATGTAGAACCAAGTGACGGGGTGCTGTACTTCATACAAGGTCCGGTCTCTGCTCCAAGTCCAGTCACTTAGCCCGATAGGGAGGGAGGGGGGGGGGCAGTGGGGTTAACGTCAGCTGCTTCAGTCAAGGGATGTTGGTGTGTTACTTTCAAAGTGTATGAGTCAACTCGAAAAATCGCCCCCAACGCATCCCACCCCCATCTGACGGCCCCGAATCACCCGTCATATAAGTAATACTTGGGTCAAACAGTCGAAAGTTTATGAAGATTACTCATCATAGGGTGATTTTCATCACACAAACAATACCAATACATCAACAAAACAGGCAATTCACAGATAAAACATTTTATTTAATCTTTTTTCGTACAGTGTACAGCGGAAAAGCGATCTGATGCTATTTCTAAGACAATGTTGCAAATGTAATTGTCATTGCGGTTGGAGGATCGGTTGGAGGATCGGTTGGTGCCACTGTTGTTTGTACTTCACAGGAGCACTTGACCTTTCGGCTGCAGTTTGGAACTTCTGGACACAGGCATGTTGTACCTTCTTCACATACACCGTTCGCTTTGAAGACACCATTCTTTTTCACTTCTCCACATTTCTCACCCTCGCTCTTCTCTTTGCTGCTGCTGCTTCTGCTTCCGCTTCCGCTTTCGCTGGACTATTGGAAGAAATACAATATGTATATAGTTTTCATTAACGGAATGATTATGTTTGGACACTAAGAATGTACATAAATCATCCCTAGTGAATTACCAGCTGTTGTTTTAATGGCATGACTAATAGAAAATGAACCTAAAATAAAGTTTCCATATTTATTGCTTATTAAAAATAGCTTACCGAAATTACGGCGGTCGCCAACATTACCAAAACAAACGCTTGAATAAAACACGTATTCATCCTCATTGCACTACGTTTACTCATTCAAATCCAAAGTTAGATGCTGTAATAAAAGGCATATAAATGAGGCCCATTAAATATAAGTTCTCGAAGGCCAGAAATCCAAAGGCCTAAAAAAGAAATTTGCCCCTTCACTAAACTGCTACTCCTCTAGCAAGCACTTATATAAGTGTAATTGTGTAAGTAAGTGAATGAATAAACTAATTCTTAACAAGTGGCATGGTATTTACAAATTTTATATACAATATTTATCTTCAACTTCAATCTTGAAACATACTTGTGGATACAAGTAGAACAGTGCATACATTTTTTTGTTCTTTGTTCAATTAAGCAAGTCCACATTGTTTTATCAGCCACTTTAGGTTCAAACATATTTGAAATTAAATGAAAAAGAAAAACTACAATTGTTAATTTTTAAGTAATTTAAGTGAATGACCTACCTCTGTCTTGATTCAGATTTCTTCCCAAATGGTTGAGTGTTGCTGAATGTTTACCGTTATTTAAACTATTGTTCTGTTTATTCAAATGATTTTCGGTCACAGCTTTGAGGATAATTTAGTTGAAATCAATAGGGCCTACGTGGCATGGGAATTTTCAAATTTTGAATAACTCATGAAGCTTCAGCTAAAATTGTCTACGGAATATTTAGCGGACAATTGGGCTTAATGCGTATTATGTTCGTTACTGAAACAATCGTTAACGAAAAAGATTATTTTCAAGACATTGGCATATCTGGGAAATCTCCCCCTCTGAGAGGAATACACGAATCACGTGACTGTGATAAGCAAAGATGTACGCGTGACACATTAAAATGACACCCACCCACACAATGTTTCATATTTTTTGTCTGATAGATAGCCCCTCCAGGTCCAATTAATTGCGAAATATAATAGTTGACCTATTTTCATCTTCTAATGCTACTAAACAACTGAGATTTACGCAAGATCATTTCAGCATTTTATCTAACAAATTATTATTCAAATTGGTCAAATGTTTCCAATATCTGAACCAAATTCATCAAAATTAAGCAGGTTGATCAATCGCAACCATTGTTTCGGGGCTGTCTTTTCTTCACAAACTTTTAAATGAAACAGACCCTGCAAATAGCTTTATGGGAAGGAAACTTATCAAGGGGCATTGGTAATGAATTCGCCAAAACATGAACGCATGCCTATTACTTTGTTTTTTTTCATCTGAAATGGATACTAAGGATTGGCGAAGCAACAGGTGAACCATGCATTAATCCAAACGCTATGAACGTCATCGTTTCCAAAAATGTCAAATTAGGGAAAACATCTTGACTTTTTAAGCACAATAAAACCACAAAGCCCAAATCTTTGAAATCCAATATTCTAACCAAAAGGATGTTAGCCCTGTCCACATTTGGAAGTGTTACTTATTTGAAAGGGGAACCAGTAATGGGCCATTATTCAGAAAAACGAAGACCAAAGTGAAGTTACCAGAACCAGGGTTCATAAAGCTATAAGTGAGTCATTACCGGCTGCGGGGTTTGATTCTAGTAGTTATAATTAATTATTATTAGACTCCAGATGAAATCTGGAGTCTATTGTTTTTGCCTCTTTTCTTTTTCTTCTTATTCTTCTTATTCTTATTATACTGATCGAGTTTTCTCAACAACTATAAGACATCTTTTCAAGACTATTATATGGTCAATATAGGTATAGTATCTAGTTGGTGGGAAATGGGGTCAAATTTTTATCTAGGTCAAAGGTCAAGAACTAGGTCAAATCCAGTACTTTGTTATTTTTTTCAATTTTCTCGGTCGTCTTTCGATATTTTCGCTCCGTTTTTTTTTAGTCATGTTCCTTTAAAACAAAGCTAATTCCGAAAGGCAAATCGTTTTTTGATAACTCTAACCGTTTTTGAGATATGGCGTCCGAAAAGTAGGTCACAACAAAAAGTTCTCCAAATTCAACATATGAGTTATGGAATAGGTGTAGAATTTTCCTAGGTATCCGAATCTGCAAACCAAATTTAGATCCGACTTCCGGTTCGGAAGTTATGTCGTTTTAAAAGCTCAAAAATCGCTAAATTTGGTGTCCATGTTAAGTCAACGGGAAAAATGATTTTTTTGAAGTGATAAATACGAAATATAGACTGAGTTCAGCTTAATTTAATGAAAGCCTTCAAAAGAAGGGGACCTCAAAAGCCATCTAGCTTCAGAATTTGGACACCAAAATGCCTAGGTCAAATCTAGGTCAAATTCAAAGGTTTTCCTTATTTTTGCGATTCTGACACTACACTTCAATTATATTCTTCGAAATTGTGTATACATGTAGCCAAGAGTGTGCTAATAGTGTTAGCCTTTTGCCGTCAGAAAGTATTTTGACTCACTTTTGAGATATGGTGTCCGAAATGTAGGTCAAAATATTAAGTTCTCCAAATTTAACGTATGAGTTATGAATAAAGGGTAGAATTTTGTCAGGAATCCGAATCTGCAAACCAAATTTCGATCCAACTTCCGGTTTGGAAGTTATGACATTTTGAAAGCTCAAAAATCGCTAAATTTGGTGCCCCATGTTATGGCAATGGGAAATAAGGTTTTTTTGAAGTGTAAATTACGAGATTTAGACTAAGTACAGCTTAAAATAATGAAAGCTTATGAAAGAAGGGGACCTTGAAGGCTACTTAACTTCAAAATTTGGACACCAAAATCCCTAGGTCAAAATCTAGGTCAAATTCATAGTTTATCCTTATTTTTGCGATTCTGACACTACACTTTAATTATATTCTTCGATATTTTGTATATATGTATCCAAGAGTGGGCTTATAGTGTTAGCCTTTTGCCGTCAGAAAGAATTTTGACCCACTTTTGAGATATGGTGTCCGAAAAGTAGGTCAAAATAAAAAATTCTCCAAATTTAACGTTTGAGTTATGAATTAAGAATAGAATTTTCCAGAAATCCGAATCTGCAAACCAAATTTCGATCCGACTTCCGGTTCCGAAGTTATGGCGTGTCCAAAAAGTAGGTCAAAATAAAAATTCGCCAAATTTAATGTATGAGTAATGAATTAGGGGTAGAATTTTGTCAGGAATCCGAATCTTTACATCAAATTTCGATCCGACTTCCGGTTCGGAAGTTATGGCGTTTTGAAATTTCGGAAAATCGATCTGATGGTATCCTGATAGAAAGTCAAGAGTAGAGAAGAAAATATTGAAAAATTCATCCATCCTTCCTATCTGTTCCTATCCTATCCTATCCTATCCTATCCTTCCTTCGTATCCTTTCCTTCCTATCCTTCCTATCATATCCTTTCCTCCTATTCTGTTCTATCCTATCCTTCTTTCTTATTCTATCCTATCGTTCCTTCCCATTCTATCCTATCCTACCTTCCTGTTTTATCCATCCATCTTATTCTGGATGACTCGGCTTATTTTAGATGACTGGGCTTAAAAAAGTCTGGATCTGGAGTCTGAAATTGAACTTCGTTCAATTTCCCAAGTCTAGTTATTAATAAGTTTATTGGTCTCTTGAACATCTAATGTACATCGGGATATAAGTCCAATAAAGCAAATAACAAATAAAACATTCATGTACATGCATGGCAAAACAATAAATACAATCTAATTTTAACAATCACTAAGTGCTAAGTAGCATAAAATGATTCCACGTCAACTCTTTGGTACTATTATGAACTCTTGTAAAATCATCACCAATTGTTTCATTAATTGTATCATCGTGCGCTAACAAGGAGTATAAAAATAGGCTACTTGCAATGTATTAAAATGAGAAAAACTATCGTTTATACTTTGCATTTTACTGAGATATAGAGATCGAGCTAGTTTTAGTTCTGATTGAGAACAACAAAAAAGAACGTGTTCTTCATCATCTATTGTATTTTTCGAATTACAGATGAAGTAACAAAATCGTTTCGATTTTTCTACTTTGAAGTATCGACCTCGTTTAATTGGGAAGTTATGCATCGATAACCGTACCTTAGCAATAGATTGTCTACGAGGGTTGTCTCAGAAGTAATGCACTATATGCTCTAACTTTATCAATAATTGATATTTTTCCATGAGATTTTCAGTGAATGTTCCTTGGAGACATTTTGTTAATTCTACAAATTTTCAGTTTGGCTGATAATACTATATTGATGTTATAACAAAATCAAATTGGTGAGTTTGAGTAGGGTGGGGCAGGTTATTGTCACGTCAAAAGGAATAAAAAGATATGAAATAATTAATCAACAAACCATTTTGTGTAGCGATAAGGAGTATGCTCAAAAATACATTTTAAGATACTAAATTATTAGGAGCACATCCTAGACTTAATGGATGTATATTGCACAGTGTCCCATTTCACATGTTCTCAAAATATTGGCCTTTACATGTTATGTACTTTTGATGCCTGTCAGGTCGAACACTCTTAGCAATTTCTTCAACCATGACTTGTGGAGCTTTTGCCTCCCATGTTGAGAGTTGTCATCAAGGGTCTAGTCATCACTTTTAAAGCTCTTCTGATACCCAATAATTGTAGTTCTATCTGGTGTATACTCCTTTTATACTTTCTTCATGGTAGCATAATGTTGTGTGGCTGTGAGTCCAAGTGAAGTGTGAAATTAGGCCACCAAACGCAAGGCCTTCTGTTATCAGGTGAGAATTGCAGCCATTTTTGCAATTTCTTGACTGTGACTGAATTTGAATTTGTGACTATTGAACTGTGGTATTATGACATCACAGTGCTAAATGTCATTATTTGTACTTGGTGAACATCATGCTGAATAAATCTAACAATTTCCCAAACATTTTGATCATTTAAAGAAAGAAATATTAATAAACTTTGGAGCTTTTCATAATTAGAAAAATTGGTACCTGCCCAGCCCACCCCTA